AAACACTTACATTTTTATTTAGGAAACTACTAACATGTGCTAAAGTTTCTTTTAAGGGCATGCATAGAAAATTTGTTACAATATATATGTATATAGAAGTGAATATTAATACTAATTTTTTAAAAAAAATTAGAGTTTTCATTTAATTAAAATTTAATTAACATTTAGAAATTTACCTATGTTGATACATAGATTTGAAAATCAATTATATTATCTAATATAATTAGTTTCTAAATTTATATATCAATATTTAATAAGATGAATTTTTAAATTATAAATTAGATTTTCGTTTTTAAATATAGGAATCAACTTTAATAAATTAAATTTTTGAACTTTAAATTAAATTTTAATTAATTAAAATAACGCTATTTAACATTAAAATTAATATATACTTTTCCCTCATATATATATTAGTGCCATACTATAATTTTTTTGGTATTAATTTGCATATTTGTTAGGTATTTTGCATATATGAAGAACACTAATAATTATCTTTTCTTTAGAGCCTGTGCTCGTCTATTTCTCAACCATATGATCATTGACAAGCTTGATGTATGTTGGTAATGTCATCGTTTTCAAACTTTTCAAAAATCTTCCTCCATGATTAATAACGACAATACTATTTGAAATAATTGCATGTGAAATATGATCTTTAAGCACAATTCGAAAATAATTTTTAATGTGACATTGAAAAAGAGCTTTCACCTGCCAATGACGTAAATTACCTAATTAATTAATGGTAATTTTCATAAATTTACACTTTAAGAGAAAAAAAATAGATGTAAGAAAATTATTATCTTTTATTATGTAACACAATAGAAAAAAAAAAAAAATTTGAAGTGCATGATATTTGAGTGAAATGAATTAAAAAATAAATATAAATAAGGTAAATTAAAAAACAAAAGATAATTATTGATCATTATACAACTTAAAATTAAACAAAAAAACAAAACTTGGACAAACACTTACATTTTTATTTAGGAAACTACTAACATGTGCTAAAGTTTCTTTTAAGGGCATGCATAGAAAATTTGTTACAATATATATGTATATATAAGTGAATATTAATACTAATTTTTAAAAAAAATTAGAGTTTCAATCCTGCTTCATTTAATTAAAATTTAATTAACATTTAGAAATTTACCTATGTTGATACATAGATTTGGAAATTAATTATATTTTCTAATATAATTAGTTTCTAAATCTATATATCAATATTTAATAAGATGAATTTTTGAATTATAAATTTGATTTTTGTTTTTAAATATAGGAATCAACATCTAATAAAACAAAATTTTGAATTTTAAATTAAATTTTAATTAACGACGTTATTTAACATTAAAATTAATATACATTTTTCCCTCATATATATATATATACATACGCACACATATATATTAGTACCATACTATAATTTTTTTGGTATTAATTTGCATATTTGTTA